ATTTTTTATGCGGACAGTTTTAACTAAGTCGATAATTGTTGAACTAATGTCATAGCAATTGGCCTTGAAAATAGAAAAAATACTTGGTGGTGCGTTTGAGAAACGATCTTTATAGAAAGCCATTATCTGCACTCATGGTCAAACGAATTCGTATATGGTATTTGGAGAGCACATATGTGCACACATTTTGAAATAACTTTATATATATATGTACATGTTCAAGTGTACGTTGAAATCGCGATCTTAGGTAGTTAGATTTTTCCAGGTAACAACATAAAAGTTTTTTGTTTGCTCCACGCAGAAAAACAATTTCTCCAGACTAGCGGAGATATGATCTTTGTTGGGACAGTACCTATACATATATGTACATACGCTCATAGATCACGTTCAATCGCTAACGCAAGTCTCCAGTTGTTTATATTTCCATTATATAGAACCACAAGAACGTATGTATGCAGAACATAACAAGATGATAATGTTTGTTAAATTATTCGTGCTACTAAGGAGACCAAAACTTATTTAATTGTTTACACCAGATATTAGATTTGCCACCATTTTATATTAGTGTGGTTAATTCGATATTTATACACAAAGCAAATACACATATTCATTAAATTTTAAACAAAAATATACATACATATGTATGTATGTATGTATATACTACATACATAGGTACATTCATAAGTACATTCATAATAGCTGAATTTATTGAACTTCGTAAATTTTAAAGGTTTCAGTGATGTCATAATAAATTTGAATTATATGTAGATATCGAATGACATTTATTCATGCAAGCATGCATATACATCCAAACATGTACATGTGCATTCCGCTTATCGCATTTTCTTTAACTTTTCTGTATTGAGAGTTAGAAAAAATGTTAAAAGGAAAACAAAAACTAAATTGCTTAGTTGATCTCTCATAAGTGTAAGTATCTCCATACATAAGTATGTGTCTCTGGAACATACATACATACATACAATCACGTTGCAACGCTCTCCACACTTTCCAGTGCAATCTCGCAAATTTATTGAAACTCATCTAAATGTTTTTCAGATGTCTGTCTATGCGTAGCCTTGACGAACTTTCTACTACGTACATACGTGGCAATTTTTTTATCCGGTCGTAAATGGTAATTACATAAATAAAATACATACATATATATGTAAATAAAACATGTACCTATGGTTTGAAAACTACCCTAAACTCGCGAAATTCTCGCAGAACTTCGGGGTGAATTAAGGCTTCTTTTAAAGATCCCCATTTACACATAAATACAAACATACATTCATGTAAGCACGAGCATGTGTAAGCATAACGACGGCTCTTTGTATTGATCGACGCTTTGTAGGCATATATATACATATGCACGTACATTTATATATAGATACAACTATGTAACCATGTTCTCAAAACGAAAATGACTGCAAGGGTGCTTAAATTTATAAATGTGTTTGTATATACATATACATATGTATATGTAGGAGAGTTTGTGAAATAATAGCATGGGGAGAGAATTTAGAACTCTGCACACGTCAAGAGGGGAAATGTAATAAAGTAGGGGTAAGGAAGAGAATTTAAGGCAACAAATATAGCTCATATGATTACACACACATATCCCTCCATTTGTCGTATGCATACATACATATTTGCGTAGCTGTGGTAAGTTGTTAGTGGGTTGATATTTTAAAATAAATTTGAAGCATAAAAAGGAAAAATGACTGCTGTAGAGTTGAACTTCGCAATATTTTGTATGTACATGCATATGTATGCTTCATTGATGGCGATAGCATACATTAAAGCAGAGAACTTGAAAGACTTTTCGTGTTCTCCGCTAAAAAAAAATCCCAACTTGTTCGTTACTATCGTTTCATTTTCAACAGTTTCGTCGTTTGCGGTTGTTTTCCCCATTAAAATTTCATGTAAGTGGCCAGATTGAAATGCGAAATTGATGGAAAATATGAGAAACATGGCAGTGGCAATGGTAATAATAGTGATTCCGCTTTAAGAAGAATTTTTAATTAAAATGGATCCGGATACAATTATAAAACACTACCTTACAAACCACGATCATTGGCACTTATGTCCGTTATAGGAATATATAGTATTTTTATTAGAAAAGAGAAGAATGTAAATTTTCTAAAGACCCTTAATATAAATCTAAATCAATTAATTCTGTGATCTTTTTCTGAATATGATCAATCCACCGATTTATGTAAGAAACTTTCAAGCTTTTGCTATGAAGTAAAAATTAAATGCGAATATGTTATCGTTGTCCATGTTTAGCAACTCTTTTTTCAAAAAGTTGGTAGGTCTTATGTTTTTCGCTTTAATCTGTCCATTTCTGATATTAACTAAGCTACTTAAAGATTTTCAGTTTTCCATGTATGCTGGCAACCTTGACGGAAATATGATTTTCTTTTTGATTCTCTTTGTGCTCACTTCTGTTTCAATTCCACCAGTAATAAATATGTTTGCATATATTTATATATATGTATGTTTGTATGTATGTTTTTTTTTGTTTTTTTTTAATATTTCTACATTAAATAAAAGCAGAGTTGTGCAGCAGTTAGCAACCGGAGGGTGAACATACATACTTACATGTAGAAAAGAAGTATAAATTTACATGTAGATAAAGTAGTTAGTACATAATTGTGTACCTGAATGTAATATAGATGTATGCAAGTGTAGAGAACGAAACGAAAATTCCCCCTACTCCATTTCTTCCCTCGTTTGCGATCGTGTTCACATTACGTACCTGAGTATGCTGCTTCAGTAGGAGAGAGAATCTATGATTTCCCTTAATATGTTTCGCACGTAAAGCTGAGAAATTGAGGGACAGCGGCAAACTCGTTATTATATTATATGGCGTCGGCTATAGCTATTGCTGTATTGCTTGCTGGCCTGTTTACCTCTCGTTTGTGGATTGTCGTTCGTGATGCGCCAGTTGAGTTTAGGCTGTTGGAGCTTTTGTTTGTGTCTGCTTAATTTTTCGCGGTTGTTTTGGTGAAAAAGAAAGTTGAAGTCTGGAAAATGTGAGTTATTTAAACATTTATGTTCTACATAAATACATACATATGAAGTGTATGTGTGCTGCTTTGGTTTTTTGATAAGGAAATATGTGTTGATAAAAATATTTGTATTTGAAGAAATACTTAACATCTTCGTATAAAATTAATCATAAGTATATATGTTAACACATACATATATGTTTGTGTGTATATGAGTACAATATCGAAAAGTACAACGTGGAGTGTTAAAGAAAATCAAGTGAAATTATGCCAACTAATTGATATGTGTGTGTATACGTGCATCAGCATAACAGTTTCGCTGCTTTTCATGATATTCTGAAGGGTGTTTTTTCTCTTCAACTATGGATTATTTCACAAAATATAAATGCACATTTATGAAAAATAATTATTAAAAAATCTTTTTAAAAAAAACTGTAATTTTTGAAATACATAATTATGTCCATAGAGACTGTCGGACACCACACTAGTGGTAAAAAAAAATTCATTGGTTGGTGAATTTAGTCAAGGAAAGGAAAGTGCAGAATAACGGGCGTTATTGGCAAAAAAGTAGCAGTGGCAACACTGTTGGGGAGGAAAAGTAACGAGCGCAAACTGTACGCTAGCTACGAAATCGAACGTCGGGCGGGAAGCCGAACAATAATTTCGCGCGGTGGTGACAGCAAAACGAAGTCGAGACATGTTGGTTGTTTAATCTATGCTATTTGTTGTTGTGCTGGTCGCATTTGAGCTGTTAACGGTGGTAGTAGTAATTTATCCCCACATTCATATTAACGGTGCTTCCATTTTGTTCGAATTTTTCTTTTACTGTTCTCACAACATGTTATTGTGTTATACATACTAGCTGACTCGGCTGTTTGGCTGCTAATCATAAGTTTGTCCTTTGAAGATTATATATTCTTTTGAGTTGCTTCTATTTGTGATATATTTAGCACATATTCCTCAACTATTCGTAGAGAAAGTGCATTTCAATCGATACAGTGAAGAGTGAACTCACATAGTGACTAAAAGTATTGAAGGTAGATAAGTAACTCATACATATAAAGAAGGTATTTGTGTCCAGAAGTTATATGTTTTGCTGTTGTATACGCTAATGCAAATCAAGTTTACATATCTGTTGCTAATATTAGCTTATAACAAACAAAAAACTTTGTGAATGTATATTTTAATAACAAATGGTGTATTACTTAAACAAAAATGTTGAAGCATCTTCGTTCATAATTTTTTGTTGGTGTGAACCATGCAATGCTTGCATTAATAAAGTGAGAGAAATTGCCTTGTGTTAGAAAGTCACATGCTGCGCCACTTGCAGATATATTTTTGATAAATATTAAAACGAGATAAAGCAAACATAAAGTTTGCTTCGATGTACATATGCATCTTATATATGTATATACAAACCTTTCTAGACGGAATATATTCAAACATACAACATTGTTATTGACCCCATAAAGTACCTATGGAGAAACATTTATTAATGATCAAATATAAATATCGGCGTAACTAATCGATTTAGCCATGTCCGTCTGGTTATATGCAAACCTATTCTTTAAATTTTTGAGTTTATGGACGATCAAAAGCATGATCCTCTGTGGAAAACTTTCTTATTTGAAGAGATATCTTCAAATACTTCACATGTATTATTTGTTAAAGTAATGTCATATTTTCTAAAGAATTTTTCAGATCGGGGTATTATTATAGAACTCATGGCTCTCGTATGGAAACTTTTTATTTATCTATGCAAACGAAGTTAACGTTCTTGATTTTAAATAATTTGGATATTCCGAAATGGAATGAAGTTGTTAGTCGGTCGAATTCTTATTTACTCTACTGCTTTGTGGAATATTAAATAAATAAAAGTTTTTATGATATTGTTAGATATATATACAAAAAGTAAAAAAATAATATTTGAAAATAAATACTAGAAAAAAATCAATATTTTAATCTTAATCTATTCTTTTTATATTTCAGTTACAATTACTGTTGCAGTTTCAATATTGTGAAGGAATTCTCTAGTTATAACATTTTGGTATTACACTTCTAAGAACATTCATTCAACGTCTACAGAAACAGAAAATTAAGAACTAAAAACTGCAAAATTATAATCTGTTGCGGGATTGGTTTCCCCATATAATTTTTCACCATAAATTGCCCATCATCAAACAATACTGCTTTTAACATTGGCGTCATAACTACATCCTCGTGGGACCATCGCTGTCAGTTGGCGCCATGGAGGACGATCAGCAGTTTTGTCTTCGGTGGAACAACCATCAGAGCACGCTAATTAGCGTATTCGACACTCTGTTAGAAAATCAAACACTTGTCGATTGCACATTAGCCGCTGAGGGAAAATTCCTTAAAGCTCATAAAGTGGTGCTGTCTGCGTGCAGTCCATTTTTTGCCGTAAGTATATTTTTATACCTTAGAAAATTGAAATTTGCAATTGATTAATGTGTTTTGTTTGTATATTTTTAGACTTTACTGCAACAGCAGTATGATAAACATCCGATATTTATTTTGAAGGATGTCAAATACCAAGAATTGCGTGCCATGATGGACTATATGTATCGTGGGGAAGTTAATATTTCACAGGATCAATTAGCTGCATTGCTAAAAGCGGCGGAATCACTGCAAATCAAAGGTCTGTCAGACAACCGCAGTGGTAGTACGCCGAAAACAGAACAACACCGTGGTTTAAATGTACCTGGAAGTGGTAGTAGTATCGGTGGCGGTGGTAAATTGAGTGGTTATACACTCGAGCAGACGCAGTCGAAACGTCCTCGTGTTGGACCATCCCCCATGGAGACTGCCGATATATCAGGATCCCGCGAGGGTTCATCTAGTCCATCTAGACGTCGAAGGAAAGTTAGACGCAGGAGTGTCGAAAATGCTATGTCCGGTAAGTATCTTAAAAGCAAAATTTTTATATAATATTGCTTTTCATAATTTTAAAATTCCAAAAAAAAATTGGATGAGGAATAGAAAAGTTTTATTTTGATTGAACAATATTACACTCGACTTTAAAGTATAAATATATATGTGAAGAATTCTTAAGGTTTAATTTGACACAATTTTATAAACCATAAAATATATATCCTACTTAAAGCAACATGAATTAATTCGAATATTTTTAATATTTACAGCAGACGTTCATGACAATTCCAACTCTTCTCAAATCAATCAATCGTCACTTCAACCACAACAACAACAGCAACCACAAACCAATGCAAATCTAACTGGGGTTGGGGCCTTAGCGGCAGCCACCTCGTCACTTCCAGTTTCGGCAACCGCACTATCGACCGGTTCAAGTAGTGTTTTAGCAGCAACTGGTTCCATAGTTAGCACACAAGGCACTACTCAGCAAATGACCACAAACATTACCAAAAAGACTGAAAGCGTTAAGGGAGCAAGCGATGCCATGAATTCAGAAAATATACCAACAGTGGGTGTAGTTGGTACCGGAGATGAACAAAATGTTGAACATCTTAAGGGTGAAAAGTCCAATCACAAACAAAAGTCATCGGCACCTGGTGTTGCTGCTAAAGAAACTGCCGAAATGGTAATCGAACCGAAAAGTGAATATGAAGAAGAAGGCAATGAGGAAACCGTTGAAGATTTAACATTAGACGATGAGGAAATGGGTATGGATGATTTAGATCAAAATGCCGGTACAAGTCAAGCTGGTGAAGGATCGAGTCAAGGTGAGACAATGTCAAATTTAACTGAACTACAAAAATAATTGCACGCAATTTTGCAATTTTGTAGTTTTTTAAATTATACGTTTGTGATTTGTTTTTGTGTTTTTCTTATTTAAAGGATATGCACCGTGGCAACATGACAGATCTCAGGACGAGTTATTATTGGCGCCACAAGAAGCACAGCAACGGGATCCACAAGGTGAGCTAGCGTAATAAGTCAAAGCAAAGCATATATGAAAAAAGCAAAGAAAGCTAAAAAGAGCACGACAGATAAAATGCCAAAGATTGAATGAACAATATTTTTTTTACAAACACTATTAGTTGCAAAGTATTAATGCGAAAATGGATGCAAAATGAAAACTTAACATCCACAAACAATAGCAATTAGTGTAATACGGAAAAATGGGCAACTAGTGAAGAGTGAAAGTTTACATATTTTTTTAAATTTTTTTTGCTTTAGTTTTTGTTTCTTTGATTGTTTAACATTTTTTCTTTACATTTTGCTACGTATGTACATCCGTATATGTACTTATACCATATAATTTATTTGAGTTCGTAGCTTAAATTGTTTAAATTAATATAAAAACAAATATTTAAAATTAGGAGTTACAAAATTTATTAGTCGTGCTCAAAGAAGCTACTATTGCTGTGTCACAGTGACAGTAAATTCTAAAAATCTAGTAGATACATTTAACAACGAAATTTAAGAAAAGTTTGCGTTAGAAAAGAATTAAAAACAAGCAAATTAATTTTGATTATACTTTAAAATACATAGAGCAGCATGTAAGATGCGAAGAAAGGAAGAGTGGTGCTGCTAAATATAATGAGTTTAAAATTTAATACTTACATTAACTAAAACTAAAAATGTGCTACATATATATAAACAACATATATTTGACACAAATACGTTTATTTAGTTAACATTTAATGTGAATAGCAACAGCTATGCAATGCAGCCCACTTCCACTGTCTTTCACTTTCTTTGTTTAGTTAGTTTTGTTAAATAATGTTTTTTTTTTTGTATTACCTATGCAAGTTTTAAAGTATTGTATTTGTTATTGTCTTTTAACACCACACAACTGTGTTTACTTACTTCTTACTTACTTACACACACTTTACAACAACATTTATTTTTACTATAGTACTTCTGATTTCATTTTGCTTGACAAACTTACATATATACATATTTATGCTAATTTGTGTTCGTTTATTGTACTAATATCGTTTACATATAAGTAGTTTTTCAGTTGTTGACGTTGGTGCTGGTGTAGAATTCGTTTCGTTTTATCATTTATATTTGAACAAACATGCCCTTAAGCTATTTACTTAAATATATTATTATTATTTATAATTTTTTTTCTCGAAATCATTTACAAAATATGTAATATGTACATTTGCCGCTTAACGAAGTTGTTTAGTCGAGTCTTAATTTTTTTCGTTCTGAATACCAGCTTTGATGCAAGTAGTATTGCCACATTTTTCACTTCATACATACATACATATGTATCGAAATTCATATATTCATTGAGATTTATTATATGTTTTATGTATTTATGATACATACATACATATATTATATAATCGAATATTAGTGATCAAATATAACTGAATATTAGCGCTCAGTCTGTCCGTCATACGCGCGCAGTAAAAAAATTTTATTTTTGTTTGTTTCTAATTTGTATACACATTTTAGCAATACATACTATATACCCTTCATGCTCACGTCCACTATATATACCTGTAAATCGCTTACATTCAAAATGTCATTCTCAAAAACTCATTTCGTCGCTTCTCATATATAATAGTATATTTTTTTTGTCGTATTAACACAAAGCATTTGATTAGCTGGTAACTAAGCTGACATTATCACCACATATTTTTTTTGTTTTTAGTATATTTTCTTTTGGGTGAAGATTGCGTTTTTGTTATTTGAAGTGCAGGCTTCATTTGTAAGAATTGAATTTTTTTTATGGCAATTGCCTTTGTTTCATATGTTTTAATGTACGTAAATAAGCAGTAACGTGTGTAAATTGTACCAACACACACTCTCACACGCAACACAAGCACACACGTGTTTATAGCGTTGTGTATGTGCGCAGGCGGATGCATGCTAACTCTTCCTGTGCATATACATAAGCTTAGCTTTGGCGTAAGTCTTGTCAGAGATACAAAGTGTTATATAATTTTATTTTATTTTTTACATTTCTGTATTTAAGTTATATAATTTTTATTTTTGTTGGTTGACGGGACTCAATTGTTTAGTTTATTTTCTATATAAATATTATTTTAAGTGGCAATTTAAGCAAAGTATGCGCTAAAATCTTAGGTCACGTGCGTTGGCGGACGCTGTGGTCGTGCTTAGTACATGGCACAGTGCTGTCAAATATTCGTTACTCTTTTCGGCTCGGTATTCTCGCGCATTTGCTCGCGTTTTCTTTTCAACTACGCGACTTTCTGCTTCAAAAAGTCGTGTAATTTGTTTTAAAGTTTTGTTTAACGGTGTTGAAAGTGTGAAAACAAACAAGTGCTACAAAGTGTTGATATGTGTGCGTAAGAAAATTGGAAGTTCTGTTACCTGCACAAATTGGCTGGCAGTTTTGTTGGACTCCTAGTTGCCGTGGCTGCCGTAATGTTTGGCTGAAACATGTAGCTGTGAGCATGCGTAAAGCATGCTGCAGTGAGGTACTGTGCGTTTCATGCCACATCGTCATCAACAGCTTCATCGCCACACCGTTAACAACATCACTAGCAAACAAGCAAGCTGTCGCCAAATCAGGTGAGTATTCTTTGTTCAACAGTATCGGTTGGACAAGGTGCACATTTCAATGGAATATTAATGTATATTAAAATTTCATTATTATGCTAATGCATCCTGTCACACACTGTCTGTAATTTGAAACACCAGCATATACATATATATATACATATAAATAATTCCTTGTATGACATTTTCAAGTACCTGTAATCCTTGCTGCTATCTTCCCTACTACATCATATTCCCTCTTTTCATACATTCATACATACATACAAACATAAGTACATATTATTTCACCGTTCATTTGAATGTTGCCAGTTACATACAAAATAAGCGTAACTGTTTAATTTTAACGGTGAATTTATAACATTACGTTTATAGACATGAACAAAATGTCGTTTGGGTTGTAAAGTTCGATTTTCTCTTTGACGAATTTTATTTCCGCGTTGTTAACCTCATTATCGACGTTTGGATTGGTTGATTTAAAGCTTCCCCAAATATTATGTTATTATATAACATAATTTACCAGACAATTTAAGATTTCAGTATGATGTAGGTATCTCACGCCAGGGGATTTAGCTCTAAATCGTCGGAAATGTAAAATTTTTTATGAACAGGTTGGTAAATCTTAAGAAATCCTTATGCCGTGAGAAGTTATGACGATCAGGTGTAATATTGGACATCACCAGTACTCTTTTCCGTTCAAATCCGATAAGCAAACCCCTGAGGCAGTAACTCATTTTCGAAATTTAAAATTTTTGAGTTTTGATAGCAAATACATTTTTAATTTTTTTTTTTTCGAAAATTTTCGAATTTTCTTGAATTTTTTTCAAAAATTTTGAAGCGCAAAAATCTTTCCAAACATTGAAAGTAATAACTTTACTTAATTTTGGTTTGATTACCTTTTTTAAACTATTTAGGAACCTATTCTAAAGTTTTGAAACTAATATACATATATCTGAATTATGAAAGCATAGCATGTCTAATAATTAAATTCTATTCTATTTTGAATATTCTACCAAAATATTGTAACTTCAACTGATTTTCGAATTTTCGAAATTCTCACAATGATTCTGAACATGGAAAGTATGAGGAACAATTTTCGTTCCTATGCAGATAATCGAACATGAAGCAGTTTTTCTTAAATCAGCTTTCGAATATTAAAATGCATTTAATCAGCAATTAATTTCGATTTTTAAAAACGTTTTTTTGAGATATTGAAATTAAATTTAGACAGATCAGTTTATAAACTAAATTGATAAACAATGCTGTACCGTGTATATTATAACCTCAAAAGCTTTTTTTCTTTAATACAAACGCAGAGATATTTTTCTATATTTATTCAACTCTCTTCGACTCGTCGCTGTAGCATATTTAAAAATAGATTATTTTTGAAAATACAGCCGCGTTATCTTACATATATGTACATATGTACATGTAGCTCATAAATCAATTGTTGGAATTACTGCCTTACCATAATTTCTGTGCGGGGGGCGGTGGTTGGTCACTATATGCGTCCAATATGCTTTTAAAAAATCTTTTTTACGAATTCTGCGTCGTTACAAATGTGAAAAAACTGAAGCAGCATATAGAAACGGGAGAGAGTTGCACATAATTGCAACGCTGTCAAAAACTACACGACTACTGGTCAAATGTGACTACTACGCGACACGACGCCGGTGATATGACGAAGTATCGTCATGTACTCAACATAATATGTAAGTAGCTTATATTTATTTTGTTATTATTAAATGTAGACCTTTTACTTATAAGTAATATCAAATATATTTAATATAAGTGAGCTTCAAAAGCATATGTGTTTACGTATACATATATACATACATATGTGTGTATATGTAGTTATGTAAAACTAAAGGATGAATTTTGTGAAGGGAATGACAAAGATGACTTGAAGTGAATTTTAAAACTCGTTTTCGATTTTCGTTTCAATTAGTATTTAACAGTGTTTTACGTACACACAAACATATACTTCTATGCAAACATATTTGGAGAAATTTAAGTTGGAGGTTTTTAATATATTTGTTTGGTATAACTGGTTAAGCCAGGCTATACACAAACAACATACGTATGTACATATGTATGTGTTTATGCAGCAGTTAGAACCGGCCGAAAATCATACGGACTCAAAATGTTCCACACACACTGTCTGTCTATCTAGCTATCTATCTTTTCATTGTCTGCGTCATTCGAGTGTATTGTATTGTTTTCGAATTTTAATTTTAATTTATCTACGGACGCATAGTGAATGTCGCTTAATATACAAGTGGTTTTTGTTGTTTTTTCGTTGTATGTTTGTGCACATGCATAAAATGTGTTCGAGACAAGTTTAAAGACGGCCAAGTTCAAGGTCATGGTTTGTTGAAAAATTGCTCCAAGTGCGCCGCGCTTTGCCTCCTCTTCGCTCTCCCTTATACACAACACCA